CCCCCTGATGCTGTACAGCACCCACCCAGGGATCTCGCCAGCCTGGGCCTGCTGGCCGAACACCGCCCGGAAACGATCCTCACTCATGGGCGGAGTCGGATGGTATTTGCTCTCCCGCCGCTCGATTCGGAGACCGCCCTCCCCACCCACCGGCCCGTGTCTGGTGCTGGGGCGCATCTTCTCATCCATCCAGCCGATGGTCTGGATGGCTATCCGACGTGAACAGGAGATGGACTCACGCCGCACCATCCCATGCTCCTGGATGCCGCCACTCTTGGTGGTCTTGGGCAGAATAGAAACGTAGTTGTTGGCGGGAAGACGCTTCTTGGTGAGGAAGGAGTGCATCCTGCTGCTGCAGTCGTTGAGGACAGCAAAGGTGTCCTGCTCAGCTCGGTCGGCGTTGGTCAAGATCTCGTCCCATCCTTTGCCGACGCTGCCGACTGTTGCAGGGTGCAAGGAATGACACATCAATCATGAGTCTGTCATGAGGAAGGTGGTGCCTTGCGTGCATGTTGTGGTGTATATCGCTGCGCTGATGAAGGGAGGGAAGATCCCTCATCGCCGGTGATTCGTCACTCCATCAGCGCACGAGCACTTTGGGTACTGTCTGGGGGTGCACTGTCTGCCTTCACTCCTCTGGGTCTGTATGATTCGTGTATGTGTATGTGCTGATGCATATGAATGAGACGCTGCGAGGCCCCTCCTGCGAGCTTAGTCGCGTCTTGTAAAGTTGGGGAGACAGGACGGGAGTAGACAGGGGAGGAGAGACCGTTGAAGACAGCCCACCGGCAACGGTCTCTCTGTCTTTTTCTTGCGCTTGCGCCTTCCTTATTCCGACTGGTTGACCTCTGTGTGTTGCTTCGTTTCCCCCTTTCGTGCTTGTTTGAGCATCGGACAGTCCTTTCCATTATCAGTGTGTGTGTACGGACGCTCACAGCGACTGACATCTTTATCATCGGTCACTCTCACTCAACCACAGCGAAGATCATCGCCACCAAGCCAATCCACCTCGTCACTTCACATCTCCATTCTCCACTAAGACCCGCTCGCTGAATAGACACTCGGAAGCTGGAAGCAGCGAGCACCCCCAAACACGACGGCAAGAGGGATGCGGGCTAACTTGGCAGGATGGTGCTCTGCGGCAACAGCTCCAACAGCGGCGGCTTCCGGCCCGTCCCACTGGCGGACCACAGCGCGGCCATGCAGGTGAGAGGGGAGAGGAGCTTGATGGTTGTTGGCTCTCTCCTCATTGCGCGTGCGGCCCTTGATAACGCCATTCATGCCGCAGATCTAATGAAACAACACCAATCGTTTACAAACCGCGTTTCACGCGAATTGAGTGAAGGATATCTCGCCACCCAGAGTGAGTGAGGTGATGATGATGCCAGTGGATTGATAGCCCTTCGAGAGACGGTTCGGATGCACCGGGTGCGCTTTGTGTCGGTCAAGTCACTGCAGAGAAAGCAGTGGGTCAGATTGGTATTGGTGATACAGAATTGAGTGAAGGATATCTCGCCACCCAGAGTGAGTGAGTTGATGATGTTGGACTGGATTGACTGCCCTTTGAGTGACGGTTCGGATGCGCCTAGTGCGGTTCGGCGCGGTGCTTTGGTTGCTGAGAACGGAGTGCGGTCGGAAGGGTGCCAATTGTGAAAGAACGTGACCGAGCGGGGAGCTGCTGCTTGGTGTGTGAGAGGCTCTCACCAGGCCGGTTCACATTGGTGTCACATAATCTGGGTGGGCTGCTTCTCTGCAATTTCATTATGTGGGGGTCACATGCGAAATGGGGCCTGCATGTCGAGATTCTCGACGTTTGCGAGTGGACCCCCGGTTACTACACCCGATTGAATCACACCATCTGCGCGGTTATTTTTTACTTTTGTCGGAAATGATCTGAGCTACCCCCTAACCACCGATACGGGGGCAGCCAGTCGCGGCATAGGACGCTCTAATTCTGCGGCAGTGGGTCCTGCATGCCAAAGTGAAGAGCAAATGGGGTCGAAATGCACCCGTCGTTCATCGCCTTTTGCAGACATGGATCCCTCGAGTCGATCTTCGATGGAAGAAAGAACGCCGATTCACACAGACGGTTCTGAGGGTTTCACGGTATTCTTAAGCTCGCGGATGGGAAGCGAAGAGCAAACAACTGCTGCCGGAAGCGAAGAGCAAACACATGGCGCAACACGTACAGCACGCGGGTGGCGGAGGCGGAGGCTTTCGGAATCTGTACCACATGCAGTTCTACAAGACCAGGTGGGCGGACAGCTCTGGCTCCCTTGTCTGTCTGGCAGATCTATGATGGTGGGGATGGGACGGGATGGATGTGCGCGTGGGTGTGGTTGTGGTTGTGGTTGTGCGCAGCTTGTGTCGCTGGTACAAACTGGGCAAGTGCACGCTCGGGCCCAATTGCCGGTGGGTGAGGGGTGGAGGGGCGGGGTGGTCAATAGGACAGGGAGGGGGGACAGATCAGAGTAGATCGGCACAGTGAGCCACCCGGGGTTCTCGAGGGAGGGAGGGAGGGAGGGAGGGAGGAGAAAGGCAGATGGGCAGGGAAAGAGAGGGAGATCGGCACCGTGGTGGATATGCCTCTCTCTCTCTCTCTCTTCCCCTTTGTCACTGTGCTATCAGGTTTGCTCATGGGCCAGAGGATCGCAGGGGCCCTCCTGACCTGAGCGCCACGTCACTCTGCCCAGTGCTACTCAAGGTGAGCACACTGCACCGCAACACCCAGATGGCCGTCTGACAATTGATTGATGAGACTGTCTGTCCTGATGACTACGGCTTCCTCTCTGTCTGTCTGTCTGTCTGTCTGTCTGTCCGCATGGTGACAGGAGGGCAAGTGCACTAATCCCAAGTGCACGTACGCCCACTCGAAGGAAGAGCTGCGAGCGACATCGTGAGAGACACCAGCCAGACAGACGATACCTTTTCGAAGGGCAGGGATGTGCGCATGCATCCTCCTGTGTTGCGTGTGTGACTGTGGGTCGTGCAGGGTGTTTCGGAAGAAGGCGGTCTGCAAGGACTGGCTGGAGGGAGAGTGCATCAACAGAGACTGCAGATGGTATGTATGCTGGACACACGCCCTCAGGACTGATTTGGCTTGCTGTATCGATCGATCTTTTGTGTCTGCCTGCCTGCCTGGCTGTCCTGTCTGTGTTCAGGGCCCACGGTGAGGCCGAGTTGAATGACGCTTTACCGACCGGTTTTCCGTTCTCCGGCCGCATCATCAAAGTCAACAGCGACCAAAGCACATCGACGTCCACCCTGTGCAGCAGCAGCTCATCCTCATGCGACGGCGCAACCACACCACCACCCCCAGTCACGGCCAGCGCCAAGGTCACCTGCAGACACACGCCCCAGCCCAAGCACGCGCCCCCTCTCCCACCGGCACCCCGCAACAAGCCACCTGTGCAGCTGCAGCTGCGCATCTGCACGCCGCCCCCGAGTCCCCCGATGCAGCCCGCCAAGCCGAAGCAGCCGCCATCCACAGAGGACGTCAAGTACCTCAGCCCCCACAAATCGCCGTTCGGGCACAGCGCCAGCACGCCGGCCACCATGTTTGGCACAGCCTCGCCCGCGTCGTCGGTGCCCAACCTGGTGCTGACCAAGCAGCCGCTGTCGTCCTTAGGATCGGGCAACTCGTCGCCCCGCGACCTGCTGCTGCCCCCGCTCCCCCGCGGCAAGGGGAGGCGGTGGAGCATGCACGGAAATGGGGGACCGGTGAGGCCGGCCGGGCGGCACCGCCTGCTGCCGTCGGAGCCGTCGACCATCCAAATGTCGAGCTCGTCGGAGATGTACCCGTCCACGAGCAGCGATGGGCGCGACTTCCCCAGCGACGGGTCGCCCTGCGCCATGCAGCCGTACCCTTACCCCCCATCCACACCCAGCGACCCACTCCCCCACCCACTGCAGGGACCACAGCCCCCCCTGCTGCCCCCGCCAGCGCCACCGCCAGCATACTCACACTCGCTGCCCACGTCGCCCTCCCCGCGGCTGTCGCTGCGGGCTGCAGCGTCGCTGGACCCGGCGATGCTGGTGCCGGCGACCGACGGGGGCGACACTGGATGGTACTGCGGGACTGCATGGGTGCCCATGCCGGTGGCAGTGGCCGTCCCGTACCCATCCACACCACCAGCTGCTCTCACCAGGCAGTTCCCCCTGGGGGTCAGTGCGGTAGCAAGTTCCATGCCACAACTGAGCCCCTACAGAGCCACCGAGAGCGGTCAGGGAGGGAGGGAAAGCAAGAGAGAAAGAGGCGGGCGGATTCGCTCACAAAAAATGTGTGTGTTTTGGGTGTGGTTCTTGCAGAGTTGTTGTCTGCTGCCCCGAAGAGTTATGGGGAGTAGAAGTAGATACCAAGGTGGGTGGAATGAGGGAGAGGATGGGTAGATTGACTGACTGACCGAGTGACAGACAGACGGGCAACGCCTTTGTTTTTGTTGGGTGGATCGGTGACGTTAAAGCTGTCTGTGATGTGTCTGTGTGTGTGCATCCCATCCACGTGTGCTCGTCTGATGTCTGTATATATAAGATGAGGCAATCACTTTTTTCACCCACCTGCCACACAGACACACACACACACACACACATGTTTTGCTTTCACCAGTCCCTTCCAGCCATCCACACACACACACATCCTCCGCCCGCCTTTTTCTAAGCGCCCACAGCCCAGCCACACGAACAGTCTGTCTGTGTGTACCCACTGAGTGGACGAACGGTGAATGGCCTGCCTACCTGCCTACCTGGCTGAGTGTCGATAGATAAGCGAGAAGGGCTGCATGTCTGTGTGGTGGAGGGGGGGATAGAGAGCCGAGGCGAGAAGACAAGAACAAACAAGGACGAGTGGAACGGTCAAGTAGGTGGTGGTTGCCTAGCTAGCTGTATCTCTCCATCTCTCTATCTGGATTGGATATCGCTCTCAGCAGTCAGTCAGTCAGTCAGTAGATGCGATTCGATGCGTGAGCTCGTGAGTCCATAGCATATGAGCGCTTCCTAAGACAGACAGTAAGTACTGATCCCCACCCGCCCACCCACCCACCTGCCGACACTTCACTTACTCCCCACTGCCTGCCTACACATCTATCTCCCCCATGCAGTGCGTCAGCGTCACTCGTTGGTCAGGGCGACGCACACACGCCAGCCAGCCAGCCAGCCGGCAAGTAAGTAAGCAAGTAAGTACCCCTACCTACCTACCCGCCTGTCTCCCTGTCTGTCCGTCCGGCTTTTGGTTACCACACATCCATCATATCCCATGAGCACGACACCACCGTAGTGAGCCCTTCTCTCTATCTGCCTGTGCCTGCCTGCCTGCCTTGCCTGTCTGCCTGTGTGCTATCCCCTTGTCTGAGCGTGGCAGCGAACGCAGCACCGCCCGTCCCCACTCCCCGTCTGTGTGTCTAAGTGAGTGTCTCTCTGTCTGTGTGTGTGGGTGGGCGAGTCCGCGGTGGGGTTGCTACATTAGTTTTCCCGGCCCTTTTGTCGTAGATAGGCCGCGTAGCGCTCGCTTGCCGGCTCGCTCACCCGCCACGTGCATGGCATGAAAGTGTGCATCAAGGGGGGAATGAATTGTGGGGTCGGGGCGGGTGCATCGACCTACGAAAGAGAGCGACACTTGGTCACATGTACCCTCCCTGTAATCGAATCGCACACACATCGCACCGCATCGCACCGTATCGCACCATACGCATGGACGCAGTAGCTGGTTGGTTGGTTGGTTGAATGATGTCTGTCCACAGATAGATAGATACTGGGGGTGGGGTGCATGGCGGGGCGGCTCTGCCTGCCTGCATTCTTTCCTGCCCGTCTGGTCTGTCTGTCTGCCTGTCTGTCTGTCTGTCTGTCTGGCAACTCACTCACTCGCCTGCTCGCTCACTGCCCCGCCCACTGTGAGTCAGTCAGTGTGTATGGATTGGTGGGGCCTTTCTTTTTCTTTTTTCGTGCAATAGGCGAGTACGTCGGTGCTTGCTTGCCTCCTTGCCTTGCCTTGCCGCGTGGCATGCATGATATGATCGGTGGTGCCGTGTGTCTGTCGTGAGTGACCTCCTCCTGGCTTCTTCCCCCCCTGCGTGTGTCGATCGCATGTCGTAAGTGCTGTGTCGTGTTGTCTTGTCTTGTCTTGTGGCGTGGTGTGGTGTGGTGTGTCCTCCCTCCCTCCCCGGCTGGCAATCTATCTACCTCTCTGGCTGGCTGCCGAGACTGCTGGCTGGCTGGCTGGCTGGCCGGCTGATCGGATTGGTGTTTATTGAAGCGAAACAGCTGATGGTTTGACTGTGGCTTTCTCGTGCTCCCTCTTGTGTGGATGGGATGGGATGTGTGCATATGTATGTATGTGCTATCTATGCGCTTTCGTCTTTCTCGTGCTCTCCTCCCTCCCTTTTTCCATCCGTCCGTCCGCCCTTCCTTGCTTGCCGTGAGTGAGTGAGTGCATCAGTCCTCCCCTCCCCTCCCTCTCTGCTGGCCGGGAGGGAGGGAGGGGGGGGATATGTGATATGATCAATGACATGTGTGCGTGCCAGCAATAGTGTCCAATGTCATATTCCTTGTGCTCTCCGTCCGTCCCTTCAATCAAGTGCCTGCCTCCTGCAGTGATGTGATGTGGTGTGATGTGGTGCGTGCCGTGTCTGTCTGTGTGTGTCGTGTGGTTCAGTCACTCCTACGCTATGCGGCCATGGATGCACTATGTCCATGTGTGCTCGCCTGCCTGTCCATGTCGATGTGCCTGAGAGAGAGAGAGAGAGAGAGCAAGCAATAGATGGATGGATGGATGAACCCCTTCATATCACAATGAATGTCTCCCACTTCTTACTTGCTCGTCCGTGTGTGTGTGTGTGTGTGTGTGTGTGGCTGCCTGCCTGCCTGCCTGTGTGGCTATCTTCTTACCTTCCTTTGAGAGTGCGATTTTGTCGACAGCCTGCTTCATGGAGACTGACAAACCCTTTCTTGAAAGGATGTGAGTGAGTGCGGTGTGGTCACCTACAGGAAGGAGGAAGGGACAAGGGACGGAGGCAGGGAGGGAGGGGAGGTATATAGATACACAGCGGACGGACGGAAGGACGGATGGTTTGTGGCGCACATCACATCATGGGCCTGACTCAATCAGGAAAGACCAAGCGCAGCCGGTCTCATCGTACGTACTTACAGCCTTACTCGCTCATACGGGCGCTCGGTTCAGGTCGCTCGCTGCGTGTGCGACCAGCCCAGCCGCTCTCTCATTGGTTCACTCAGTCCACTGGATATGGCTCTGTGTTTCCCTCTCCCTTCCTTCCTTTTTCGCGGGAAAGCCGTTGAGAACACTGAGGTGGCATGAGGTGAGTGAGGTGGCATGGCACGGCACGGCATGGAGCCAGCGAGCAGTGAGTGATTTGCCTGCATACGTAACGTAGATGCGTACGTACAACCTTACCAGCCTTGGCCTTCCGTCTTTTTCGACCTCGACTGACTTGGACTTGGACTTGCCGCTTGCTGCTTGCTTCGTGTCGCCACTCGCGCGCTGTACGTGTACCTTCCTTGCTACCTTCCTACCTTCCTACGTGCTGACCCCACCAACCAACCCCTGTGACGTACGTATATGTGTGTGTGCATGTCTGTGTGTCTGTGTGTGTCGTGCCGTGCCCACTCCCTCGCCGCTGTCCGTCCCCCTGTGTGTGTCATGCTATGCTATGTGATGTCGTGTGTGTTATGGTGTCTGTCATCTGATGCGATGAAATGTGATGTGATGCGATGCCTGTCTGTCTGTCTGTCTCCCTGCGGTTTGATGATGCCGTCGTACCTGCTTGCTCTCTGGCTTGGTTTCTGGATTTGTTAAGTGAGTTCCTGCTTGCACCAGACAGACGTGGGTGCACATACTCAACACACGCACATCCATCCATCCACCCCACCCACCATCCGCCCAAGCGCGTATCTTTCACGCCATTGCAATGCCGTGAGTGAGCTGGGTATTAGGTGTCTTGCCTTGCTTTGCCTTGTCTGTGAGGCTCCCCTGCCTCTCTCCCTCCCTGTCGTACTTTGCCATATATCAAGGGTCCACCCATACATAAATGTAGTGTCCGTGCATCAATCACACCACATCTTTTGCTCTTTAACCTTCAAACACGTGCCATACACACATACACATACACATACACGTACACACACATTGCTCTTGCTTCCCTTTCCATCCGCGAGATGAGTGAGTGAGTGGCCTATTTCTCTGAGTGCCGACTGCTGTGGGATGGTAGGCCCTACGGACGTGCACCCACATACACGCACCCCTGACATGACATGACCTGCAGGAGGGAGGCGGGCCGCTCATTGGTGTTTTATACAGTCACTTTCCATCCACCTATACCATACATGTGATGTGCGTGGCGAGGGCCACAGCGACCGACCGGTGGCATTTTTATATATCATATGCACGACAGGCGGACAGATGCCCACCATCCGGAGGCCGTGGTGGGCTCTGGACGCCTCCCCCCTCCTACTCTCCCCCCTTCGCACTCTGCCCGTCTTTCATACCGGCCACAAACCGATAAATAGAAGACTTTATCGGCTGTTTGCCCGTACATTGCTGTCTGTCTGTCAGCCTGTCTGGCTACTTGTCTGTCTGTCTGTCTGTCTGTCTGTCTGCATACTTACTCCGCTCCCCCCCTGTTTGCCCTGCTTGCGATCTGCTGCATATGCATTTGTGCACATGTCGTGATGTGATGTGATGTGACGCGGTGTGACGTCGGCCATACGCCCTGCCGCATGTGACATGATCGAGTGAGCAACCGACCAGACTGACTGACTGCCTCACCACTGCTCTGCTTGCTGCCCCCTGCCTGCCTGCCTACCTACCGACCTGCCTGTGTGCCTGCCGCAGGAGTGCATCGCATCCCTCATTTGTTGTGAGTGCCTCTACCTGTCTGTCTGAGGTGTCAGCACGCAGATGCGTGGTGAGTTTGATTTTCCAACGACCGACCGACCGACTGACTGACTGACCGACTGACTGGCCGAGCCAGCGCCAGCACCGGGTGCCATTGGACGGGTGGCCCCGCTGGCTTGGCTTGCTGCACGGGACAAGGGCGGTGAATGATTGGGTGGGTTGCCCGTGCCGGTTTGCCGATCGAGCGGCAGCTAGCTTCGATGCTGATTCGCAGTGGGAGCTCCTTGTGGGCTGCACCTATGGGTGTGCAAATGCGTGTATGTGGATGGATGGGTGAGCGACGGGGCTTACGGATGGCTGCGGGTGGGTGGCGGGTGGAAGGAATGAACACATATTTTCTTCCGTGGAGCGGTGGGATGCCTCAGACTGTCGTTTCGTCTTTTTTTTTGGTGGTGCCGTCACCCACCCACCCGTCCATCCATCCGTCCGTCCGTCGTCCATCGCTCTCTCGTGTCGTGTCGTGTCTTGCCGTGCTGATGAATGACCACTACCATCCATGCTTTCGTCTGTGTTGTGTGTGCGTCGGGCGATGGATGCCATGCATGCACAATTAAGTCTCTCTCTTCTTGTCTGCTTTTCGTTTTTTGCACCTGTCGCTTGACGGCCGGCCACTGTCGGCGGACGACAGACAGACAGACAGACAGACAGACAGCGGCGGATGACTTGTTGGTTTGCCCGCCCCGCTCGTTTCCGTCGCCCGGAATGCAGAAGCGAAGAGTGACATCGCACATGTATGACACAAGGGAGGGAGGGAGACGTGCGCCGGGCGATGGATGGATGGATGAACGAGTGGGTGGCGGAACGCACCGGACCGACGACAGCCTGCCAGCGGTCGTCGCTATTTTTGGCCCGAGTAGCAGTTCACTAACCTGCCTGTGTGATCTGATTGATACATGTGGTCTGATGAATGACAACGTGGCTCGTACGTGCAAGTAACCAATCCGACCTGAAAAACGAACATGTCTGTCAGCCAGTGAGTGTTGTGTCTGTGACGGTGGTGGTTATCTGCCTGGATGGACTGGACGTGGCGAGGCGAGTCTGGTTCGATTTTCTGTATGGTGTCACGTTGCGTGGCTGGCTGTTCGTGTTGTGGTCGGTTGCTCTTTGTCAACACATAGAAGGTTCATCCTTCTCTCTGCCTGCCTGCGTGCCTGCCTGCCTGCTGAATGAATGGCCGTGTCGGCTTCTTGCTCGTTGCTTGAATGGTGATTCTATACAAGTAGCACACACAACGAGAATTCGCTCTGTCGGCCTGATTGCCTGATTGATGACGCACACGCGAGCCGAAGACACACACTTCCTCTCTAGCTTTACGTTGTCTCTGTCGGTCCTTCTCTCTCTCTCGCGATGACACACACTGCGGAATCGTTCTCTCTGTCAGACTCACTCTCTCTCTCACCTGCTGCTGCTGATTGTTTTGTTTCTGTTGTGTGTAATTCGGCCGGTTTTTGTTTATGGTTGTTTTGATGCATGCCTTCCTTCATGCGGGCGGGGTCTGTCTTAATTGCCGTTCTTTGGTTTGGCAGATAGATAAGATGGGAGAGAGGGAAACAGGCATTAGCTAGCTGTGGAGAGGGTTGCTGGCTCCGATCCAGAGTGCATGGGATGCGTGGAATCAATTGGTACACATTCACACGTTTGCACGTACAGACCTCCATACGTATAGACACATACCTCCATGCCATCCATGGTCATACATACATGCGTGGAGGAGCGATGCGATCGGTGAGATAGATGAGATGAGATGAGATGAGGTCGTGAGATGATCGAGGTGGAGGGCAGGCACTTCAATATATAGCTGCCTGGCATGGATGAGGGCAGATAGACCACCCGATGTACTGACTGACTGACTGACTGATCGACTGACTCACTCACTGCCTCATTAGCTTTGCCACTCTTTACGTTCGTTTGTCCAGCTGTTCGTACGTCCGACTGTCTTCTTCTCTCCTCTCTCTCATGCCATTCATTGCCTTCCACACACCATACAAGCGCACACGTTTTTTTCGCGGCAGCAAGCGCCCCGGCAGCTGCACACAGGGGGCTGCCGCGTGGATGCTGGCTTTGCGCGGATCTGCATGTGTGGACTCACTCCTCTGTCTCGATCCTCTGTCCATCTATCCATCCATCCATCGCATCTCATCTTCGTGCTGTGCATGTTGTGTGGTTCCGACTGACTGGACAGACAGACTTGCTACTGTAAAGAAACACATACACAGACACTGTCGCACGGAAACAGAAGAAACCCCAGCAGCAGGCAATCGCACACGCGGAGACAGAACTTGCCGAGACACACTATAATTAAATAGAGAGCGAATCTGGGGGTTAATTGAGTTCTGGTTGTGTGCGTCTCTTCCCATTAGTTGGCTTGTAGGATGGGGCAGAGAGAGGGGGGACTCTTGTATCCGCAGACTACGCATTTCGATGTGAGGGCGTGGGTTAAAACGAGACATTGATGCACTCACGAAATTTGCAGCTGGGTCTTCCAGACAGACTACACAAATACGTACATGCACCAGCACCATCCATGACATACATGCACACACGGGGCCGCATCGTCCATCATCTAGCCAGGCAGGCAGTGGCAGGCAGGCAGGCAGTCGGGCACCTCACGAACATCATTAGATAGGCGCCACTTTATCCACCAACCAACCAACCACCACGCCGCACGGCCAACCATCCATCCATCCATCCACTTAGTATCTACAAGAACAGGCATCCGGTACGGCGTCCTTCGTCAGAAAGGCAGGCAGGCAGGGAGGTGGGATGGGGATGCATGTGTCCTCTAGCTGTACATCTACACGTCCGTCCGTCCATGCACTGGACGTCACTCAGTCAATCAAAGCAATGAATGCTGTGTGTGGCAGGGAGGTCGGCCGGCACCAGAGGGAACCGACGACCTGCCAGCTACGAGAAAGACTGCTCGCCGCGCCCTCACGACAGACAGCCACCGCAGCCACATATATGGGTGGATAGGAAATAGAAAACGGCAGGGGTGGGTGTGGGCAGGGAGGCCAGGCGCATTCAAGGCAAGGCCGCTAGTCGTGTTTCAAAACTCAATGAATGACCGAATGCAATGAATGCATCCATACACCCATACACACATGCATCGCATCCATGTACTTACCTACCTACACGCTCACTCACCGGGATGCAAAAAAGCGGTCACCGGCGAGGCATGCGTATGTGTTGGCTGATCTGATTGGTGCCCGCCTGCCTGGCTGGCTTTGAGTGGGCTACCAGAGACCTGACGTCTGCCTGTGAGACGTGACGTGAGAAAGGAGGAAGGGAGCAGCTCGCTCCGCTGTGTGTGGTGTCGCTCTGTGCGATAGACAGACACAGTAGTGGGTTGGGGGAGTGGCTGGGTCAGGAGGGAGGGAGGGGGTTAGAGAGGGAGGGAGGAGTGAGATATCGTCAGTCAGAGGCCGCCAGGGAGGGAGGTAGGTAGGTAGGGAGGCTAGACAAGGGTTGAGGGGTAGGGAAGGGTCGAGGCGGGGGCAGTCAAGCATGCATCCCATCCACGGAGGGGTGTCAGTCAGTCAGTCAAGTCAGTCGAGAAACGGCTTTCCTTGCTCTGTCTAACTCCTGTCTCGAAGGAAGGAACACATACCCACTCATCTGTCTGTCTGTCTGCCTGTCTGTCTGTCTGTTTGTCTCTCTGCTCGGTGCTGCACCTGCATCACACAACCGGCCAACCGTCCATGCCTTTAGTCCGGGTGCTCGACCAGTTCATCAGTTGGTGACTCACTCACTCTACAGCTCTCACGGTCCAGCAGCCGCGGGAAAGGCATGGGCGGTCGGTGTACGGCAGCGAGTGACGCATGGCATGGCATACAGAGATAGATAGAATAGACCATCACATCAAGCAACACACCAACCAGCCAACCGGCCCATCAAGCCAGCTATCCCTTCCTCTGCCCTGCGCTACACTCTGCGCGTGACGACCTTGCACTGGAGATGAGATGAGCCACGCATGTATGGGGGCTGCATGGCATGGCTCCTCTCACACTGCCAAACGAGACGAGATGGACGCCGAGCAAGACAGAGGCGAGACTATGGATCGAATGGACGAAACTAGGATAAATATGTCACCACACCACACCACACATGCATCGCTCAACACGTGCACGCCACGCATGGCCATCCAACCAACCTCACTCCAGAAGGAACAGCGACACCGCTCTGTCTGTCTGTCCGTCTGTCTGTCTGTTTGATGAGACCAATCCGTCCGCCGCTAGCTACGAAACTCCATCCGTCAGCCAGCCCGCCCCCAACACGACTGCGTGAAAACCAAACATGCACGCAGCCACACAGCCACACAGCCACTCAACACAGCCCGAAAACAAAAACCCACTACGACATGCAGGCAGAAGGGCCCCCCTCCCTGTGTGCGCCCGTGTGCATGGCATGATGGATGTGGTGCGTCTGTGTGTCTGTGGGCTGTATGTACCATCTATCTCTGTCTCTATCAGCTGGTGTGTTTGTCTGCATGCTATATATGTATGTTTATTGTCCGAAGTTGAAACCGCCCTGAGGTGCGTTGGCGCCGAACTGGAAGTTGGCCTGTCCCATGTCGTCCTCGCCGCCCTCACCGATGTCCTCGTCCTCCAACGGGAAGTAGTTCTCCAATATCTTGACAGACTGACACACACACACACAGGACAGAGGAGGGAGCCAGGAAAGAATGATGTCAGACAGACACAGACACAAATGAGTGTATGCGCACCGCACACGCGTGTGTGAGTGTGTGTGTGTGTGTGTGTGGCCTGTCAGCGCACCTTTTGGTATACGTCTTCGTTGGGGTCCTCCTGCAGCTGCTCGATCTTGGTGATGCCGTCAGCCTGACCATAGATAGAGACACACACACATCAGATCAGATCCACACACCACACCCGTCCCATAGTTGGAGTGTGCTGTGTAATTGCGGTGTAACGGACCTGTTCGATGAGGTTGCAGAAGGGGTTGTTCTCAATGTTCTGGTCACGCTGCTTTTGCTTCCCAACGCTGAATGGAATGAGGGACGCGCAACACAGCACAACACAACACAACACAACACAACGCACACCCCGCTACACACGGACGTGAGCTGAGCTGGTTGCCTTCCACCTCTCTCTGTGTGTCGTTCGTGTGTCTGCCTGTCTGTCTGTCTAGCTCACCGTAGTATGTTTTCGAGTGCCTCGAGCGCCACGGATACGATCTTGGTGTCGTTGACCTCCAGCAGATCGCACAGCGGCTTGATGCAACCACACTGAACCAAATACTCCACCTGCAGCACACAACCGCAACACAACAACAACGCAGGACATTACATGAGTCGACGAGTGTGCGTGGCATGCATGAGTGGTCACTGACTGACTGACTGACTGACCTGCTGCGGCGATCCGCCCGATGTGGCGTTTGAGATGGCCCAGGCGGCCTCCTTCTTGATGTCGAACTCAGCGGTAGCGAGGATCTGCACCAGGGGAGGGATCAAACCCACGTTGACCACCTCCTGAATCTGGTCACGGTTGCCTGACACACACAACACAACACAACACATGGATTGGATGGGATGCATCCGTGTGGGGCAGGACAAATGACCATTCACTCGCCTCTGTGTGGAGGTGTGTGGAGTGTAGTGTAGTGTAGTGTACCAGCAGTGATGTTTGAGATGGTCCAGCAGGCCTCCTTGCGGATGCCCTTCTTGGGCGACGACAACAACGCCAACAGGTTGGGGATCGCACCACACTGCAGAATCACCTGAGTCTGCCGATCGTCACCTGCACACAACACCGTACAACACCATACCATCCATACACACAGCACACATCACATCACATCACATCGCATCACATCCATGTGTGGTGTGGTGTGGTACACCCATCCCATTCATTCATCCACCCGCTCCCTGCCTCCCTCCCTGGCTCACTCACCTGTGACGATGTTGCCGACAGTCCTGAGTGCGGGTGTCTGGACGAGTGGGCTGCTGTGGAGGAGCATGTCGACGAGCCTGCGGCACACGCCGCTCTGGATGACCGCCTCGATGCGCTCGTTGGGCCCGTCGCTCAGGTACGACAGCGCCCAGCAGGCGTCGGTGAGCACCTCCACGTCGCTGCTGTAGATGAGGTTGGCCAGCGTCGACAGTGAGGGCGACACCCACTCGAACGGCGGCTGGGGCTTGCCGCGGCACAGGTTGCTCAGGGTCCATGTGGCGTTGCGCAGCATCGAGAACTTTTCGCTCTCGCGCAGCTGGTTGAGCAGCGGGGCCAGGCCGCCCGCCTGCAGCACCAGGTCACGGCACTTGGGCGAGTCGCCGGCGATGTTGCCCAGCGCCCACACGGCCTGTTCGCGGACGTCGTCGTTGGGTGAGGAGAGGAGCTGGACGAAGATGGGTATGGCGTTGGCCTCGATGACGACTTTGGTCTGGTCGGGTGTGCCGGATGCGATGTTGGTGAGGGCCCATGCGGCCTCGAACTGCAGGTTGGGGCGGTGGAAGTCCTTGAGGAACTCGACAAACATCGGCACCACATTGGCCTCGATGACCTCCTGGATCGGCGGGCTCTGCTCTATCGACAGCAGCTTCCGGAACTGCTGCGTCGCGTTGTACTGCACATTGCGGTCGCCGCTCATGACGCCCTGCACCAACTCGGGGATCGTCTCGGTCCGGAAGGTCGGCTTGGCCGCCGCCACGGCCAACTGACCCGTGTCGGCCGCCTGCTGGCGCTTCTTCATCAGGTTCTCCTCGCGCTTCTGCTTGCGCAGCTGCACATTGAGGTCCTCGCGCTTGCGCCGGGTCTCGGCAGAGTCCACGGCCTTCTTGAAGTTCTTGCGCCGCTCCTCCAAACGCCGGTCCATCGCTACAGTGGTCTTATCTATCGCCAGATAATACGATGTCTGTCGACAGATACGATGTCGCAACAAACAGGCTCGAGTGATGTCGCGGAAAGAGGCAGAGATGCCAGCCAGATACGAACAAGCAGGCTAGGCTCCCTGCCTGCGCACGAGCAACGAAACAACAAGTCTCCAAGCAACTGCGAGCTATATTGTATCGGATTCACGGCTGTTCCGAACTCCGAAACCTACTGTCCGAACAGCGAGAGTACAGGCAAGGAAGAGGCTGAAAGGGGAATGACGTCCTGAATCAGTTAGTTGATAGTTATACATGTGCATCGCATGATAAGAAATGGAGGAGGAGCCCCAGGAGCTGAAGAGGCTGAGGGAGAAGGCCAGGGGAAGGCTGCCTTTCCAACACCAAGGCCAGCACAGCACAGCCTCACACACGCAACAAGCAGCACGCCGTCCATGATGAATGTCCTGCTGTCTGTCTGTCTGTTCTCTGTCTTCTATGTTTGTGTCTGCTGTACTGACTGCAGGTCGTACGGTGTATGAGTGGGAGCAGGGTCTGGATGAGGTGTCGGTGTACATCCAGCCGCCTCCTGGCGTCACCAAGCACCACTTCGACATCAAGATTCAGCCACACCACCTCACCGTCGGCGTCAGGGACAACCCGCCCTACCTTGATGTCCGTATGCCCAGACAGACAGATGGATACCAACCAAATCTCTGCTCATACATACAAGACGTTCATCTTGTCTGTCTGTCTGTCTGTTTGTGGTCTGTCTGTTTGTGGTTTGTGTGTCTGTCTGTTGGTTGACACAGGCTGATTTGGGTGGTGTAATAGAGACCGACAGCTCCTTCTGGATGATAGGTCAGTCAGTCAAAGAAAGAGGGGCGCCCGTGTGTTGCTTGCCTGCCTACCCCTTCACTCGCTCCCCTCTGTCACAGAGGACGGCGAGCTGCACATACACATGTCAAAAGTCAAGAAAGGTCAGTCAGCCAGACAGACACGCAAGGCAAGCTGCCATGCAGACAGTCCTTGTGTGTGTTGTGTTGTGCTGCAGGGGAGACGTGGGTGTCGGCGTTCAAGGGTCAGGGTGAGGTTGACCCGTTCACGCAGCAGGAGCTGCAGAAGAAGCTCATGCTGGAGAGGTTCCAGGAAGAACACCCGGGATTCGACTTCTCACAGGCATCATTCTCTGGTACACACACACGGAACGACGGACCAGACGACATGACATACACACACTCACACTCAGCATCTATATGCAAAGAGGGCCTGCCTTTGTTTGCGAACATCAAGTACTTGTGTGTCTTACATTACTTACATTCGTGTGGTGTGCAGGGATGGCCCCCGACGCACGGACCTTTATGGGAGGCGTCAAGTATCAGTGACTGAGTGGGAGACAGGACATCCACACCGACAAGACGGACGGACGCTTGCTTAAGCTAAGTCGACTGCTGACTGACGTTTGTCCGTTGATACCATCAATGCCTGCATACGTGTGAGCGTTGCCAGCTGACTGACTCTGGCTGCATTTCTTATTGTAACCCAATCCATACATATGGATCTCGGTCGGAGTACATATCACAGTCACAGTTACGGGTCGCTCGCTCTGCTAATTGCATTGCACATTAATGCAGTTAGTTCCCTTCCTCCCTCTGTCCATCTATCCATCCATCCAGCTGTACTTCTACCTACCTACACTGTGTGTATGTTGTGTATGAGATCTATCTACATGGATTCATCCATCCCGTCCATTCATCCATCATACCAGCCGCCCCTCCAGGCAGAGCCAATCTACACCATACACGGCACCTCTGAACCCTACTCGAACAATCGCTCACTATGAGCATCTCTTTCTCCCACCCTCTCCTCTCCCTCCCTCCCGTCAGTCACCCTGCATGCCTAGGTAGCTATGCCTTTCCCCCGAGCCCCAGTGAGCTGAGCAGTCTCTCAGTGCGTGTGGCTTTCCTGGCCGTCATGAGGTTGAAGCGGATGACCTTCTGCCGATACCCAGTGATCATCAGACCCATCGTCAAAGCACCCGCCATTGTCTCGGGACCGGCGCGGAATAGACCTGCAGTGCATTGCAACATTGCCTTGCATCCATTCACTGACGCGATGCGTGTGAGGGTGGTGCGTGTTGCTTGGGGCCCGAGGGGGGTCTCATCTCACTCACTGACCGATGAGGCCTTTGGGTGTGAGAGCGGATTGGACAACGGCTGGCCAGAAGGGGCTGATCTCCTTGGACCAATCCGCTGTCCTGCAGGCGACGCAGCGGGCGGATGGCACACAGAAAACACACATACGGACATACGGACCTGATTTCACTTTGCCGCCTGTCCTGGTTGATCAATGGATGGTTCGTCTCACCCACCTGATGTCTCGAAGGCCGAGGTCCTTGGCGCATTTGGTGTAGTCGTCGATGGACCACCACTCAGGTAAGTGGTACAGACGGCTCACCCAATTCAACAACCGCTTCTCTCTGACAGATATGCGAAACCATACATACATACATATTTCGGTGCTCTAAGACACCTTACTTACCTTGGTTTGAGTTCGGTCTCGTCTGGCTCGAGGTTGCGCTGGCACCAGGTGACCACTATGACGCGGCCGCCGGGACGAACCACTCTGCATGGAATGGAATGGAGCACACACAGTCAGCCGTGGCAAGCGATCTTCCAGTTCCTCCCTCCCTCTGTGCCTCCCTCCCTCGTTGCCTCCCTCCGCCGCCGTACGTACCGTTTGATCTCCTTGATGAAGCGCGGCCGGTCAGGGATGTGCTCGCCCGACTCCATCGACCAGGCAAGGTCAAAGGCATTGGCGCGGTAGGGCATGTCCATCGCATCAGCCACCTCGAACCCCAGCTTCCTGCCCAGCCTCTTGCGGCCCTTTGCCTTGTCGCTCTTGTCGGCCTCCTTGGTGAGCGCCTCGGCCCGGTCCCGCTGGAATGGGCTGAGTGTGATGCCCTTGCCGGTGCTGACGGACCTGTACTTGCGGGCAATGTGGCGGAGGCTCCCGCCCACGCCGCAGCCCACATCGATGACGGTGTGGGGTGCCTTGACGCCGGCCCACTTGAGCACCTCGTCTATCATGTCAATCTGAGGCAGAGAGGCAACAGGGAGGGCGCTGATGGGGTGGATAACAGCCTTCGGCCGTGTGTGTGTGTGTGTGTGGTCACCGCGTGCACCGACCTGTGCTTGTTTGTGGTCCTTGCGCCACTTGCCGCCTGGGTAGTAGCCATGGTGCATGTGCTCTGCATAGCATAACACAGACAGCGGGAGGGAGCACATCCGCATGTCATCCCTGGCGTCAATGTCAGTCAGTCAATGCAGATCAGATCTGTGGGTGGGATGGGAAGCACTCCACTGACTCACTCACCTCCCCAGATCTCTTCCCACACCGTCGACGACCTGAATGTAAGTAATGTTCAACACACCGACACGGGACAAAAACAACATGAATGAATGCAATGCAATGCACAGCAAGGCAAGGCAAGCAACATGGACACGTGTGATGTACAGCAAGCCAAGCGTTCCTGGTCAGTCCTCCTTTCCCTTCCCGCTCACTCACTTGTCGTAGAAGTTGGCAATCTTGCCCCTCAGCTTGTTCTCAAAGGCAGCCACTCGGCTCCTCCCCACAGTCATGGGACGGGCGAATCTGTCAGACAGCAGTCCGCTCGTCCGCTTGGGAGATGCTGCTTCATTTGCAGAGCACGGAGTGTGGATGAGGACGGCCGCGAGCAGGATCGGCACTGCAGGCCACACGCAGCCCGGTTGCCGGGCTCGGAGATGAATCTGTTGCGATACCATGGCAGTCACAACACCGCTTCCTCCCCTTCGTCAAAGCTCGCAATTGGGTTTGGTACAGTGCCCTAAGCGCCCCGAGTGAGTCAGACGCCATTGTGGTTGTGGAGGCCGTTGTGCTTCTCTGCCTACTGCTCCTCCACCGCGACTGCAAGATCTGTCAACTTTTCTCTCTCAAAAGAGACTCTTCGCGGCATCTGTCCTCATAGCAGCCATGGGCAACTTGATGGGTGAGTGAGCGTCCAGCGCCGCGGCAGCACACGGCAGCCGACAGACTGGCACACCAGCCGAATCGCCCACTTTGTGCTTGTGTGTGTCTTGCTTCTTGTGTGTGATCTGTCTGCAGGCGGCAGCACTGGCGACAAGCCCGAGTCGACCAAGGTGGTTGCGCCTGACGGTGCGTGTGAGGAGGCCATTGCCGTCTTCAAGGACAAGTTCAAGTCTGCACCCACAATTGTCGTCGCCGCACCTGGTACGCCCGGGAGACAGCTTACATATTGCCGCTTTGTGTGTGTGTCGTGCAGGCCGTGTCAACATGATAGGCGAGCACACCGACTACCAGGAGGGCTTCGTCTTCCCTATCGCACTCGACAGGTGCGATAGGTGGTGCTGCGCACAAAAGTGCTGGACTGCACTGCATTCAGTGCACTTGTTTTCCTTCGTCTGGCGTGTGTGCGCGTGTGTGTGTTTGTGGGGCGTCAGGAAGTGTGTGATAGCACTGGCGCCCACATCCAAGGGCTACCGCATCTACAGCCGCGAGGTCAAGGACACCCTCCAAGTCGACACACTGCCAGAACAGCCGCAGGACGGAGACGTCCCCTGGTCAGTCAGCGAGCCCTTCTCGATTAATCGACGGACACGTGCGTGTGTCGCTTGTGTTGTGTGTGGTGCATTCATTGCAGGTGGAGCTACGTCGTTGGCGCGATGCGTATCTACTGCGATGCGGTCAAGAAGCCGCTGCCTGAGGGCTTTGATGCGGTGGTCCTGACCACCGTCCCACTGGGGGGCGGACTCAGCAGCTCAGCAGCTGTGGTCAGTCAGTCGGTCACTCAGTCAGATCATACACAACACAGGTGTCACGTCACCTGGGTTGGTTGGTTGGTTGGCGTCAGGAGGTGGCGAGTGCGACGGCGATGGAGGTGGCCGTGGGTGTGAGCATGGCTCCCATGGAGAAAGCCGTATGGTAAGTGGGTGAGAAAGAAAGGGACAAAGGGGGCAGGCAGCGATGCGATGAGGCGTTTTCCACTTCTGTGTGGCCTGTGTGGATGTCTGGTGTTGATCGGATCGGTGAATTGATCGGTCAGCTGCCAGAAGGCCGAGCACGAGTGGGCCAAGATGCCCTGTGGACTCATGGACCAGGCCATCTCATGCTGCGGACGGGGTGAGACAGACACTCACCAGACGCCGATCCAATTCGACACCCACTCACCTCTGTCTGTCTGTCTTTCCCCATCTGCCTCTGTTCTGTGTGGCATCCATCCATCCATCTGATCTGTCCCTCCATCCATCCGTCGGTTCCTCCAGCCAAGCACGCCATGCTGCTGGACTGTCGGTCGAAACAGCCCAGTCTGGTGCCAATGGAGGCAGACGACATCGACGTTCTCATCATCGGTAGGTACCACCACCACAGCACTCACCAGCAGTCACCCTGACTGACGACACGCATCGCATCGCATCACCCTGCAATCAATCAATGATGGACGGGATGATATACATGTGTGGCTGGGCTGCCATCCCATCCATCGTGGCTTGCAGACTCTGCTGTGCGTCACGCGTTGGTGGACGGAGCCTACTCCACGCGCAAGAACCAGTGCCAGAAGGCCGTGGAAATCGTGCAAAAGAAACACCCCAAAGTCACGTGAGGATTGGTCTGGCGAAAGCCATCCGTCAGTCATCCGCCACACGTGTGATGTGTGTGTATGTGTTGCTCAGTATGTTGCGTGATGTGACCCTGGCGATGCTCGAGGACGCCAAGGCGGCCGGCGAGATCGATGATGAGGTCATGTCAACGCGCAGGCAAACAGGCGATATCTGCGACGCCGCTTGCTCATGAAAGCCAAAGTGTGTGTGGGGGTGCTGTGCTGTGCTGCAGACGTTCCGCCGGGCCAGCCATGTGGTTGCTGAGAACGACAGGTAATTTTAACAGAGCAAGCAAGAACTGTCGTGTTTGTGGGGGAGGCACGGCACGACTCTTGTCTGTCTGTCTGTCTGTCTGTCTGTCGTCCTGTCGTCCGTCCACATCACATATATCAGGTGCCTGCAGTTTGCGGACAAGCTCAAGGCCAAGGACTGGAAGGCCGCCGGCACTCTCATGTATGAGGGGACCCACAACACACAGCACAGCAGCCAGCCCACACTGACCGATTCTTCACTGCTGGTTCCCTCTCTCTGTTATGTTAAGGTATGAGAGCCACGCGTCGCTCCGGGACAACTTCGAGGTCTCGACGCCCGAAATCGGTCAGTCACTGTTGGCGGCTCGCCTTGGCTCCTCAACTCTCATATGTGTCTGTCTGCACGGATTGGATCCTTCAGACCGCATAGTGGAACTGGCTCGCGAGCAGCCTGGGGCGTATGGCGCGCGAATCACTGGGGGCGGCTTCGGCGGGTGTGTGGTGTGCCTGGTGGACAAGACCAAGAGCGATGCCGTCAAAGACACTGTGGTCAGTCAGCCAGAGGGGGGGAGGGGGAGCCATGCATGGCCATGTCACGGAATACAATTATCTAATCGATCTATGTGCCTCTCTCTGCTGTGTCTGTCGTCGGTTCAGCTGGCTGAGTACTCGAAATTCCTCGAGACTGTCAAAGGTACGAACGAACAACTAAATGCATTGCATTCCTGTTTGTTTGCGGCACCAAAAACCATCTTTGATTGGATTGGTGGCAATGTTGTGGCTGCAGCGTCTGCTGAGGCAGGTCTGAAGGTCGACGAGCCGCGGGCATTCCTCGCTGAGGTGAGATGACGACATACAGACGCACCCACACACACCCACACCCACACACATGGATGGATGGATGGATGGCCTGTCTGTCTGTCTGTCTGTTCCGTGTTTGCCTTGCAGCCCTCCGACGGCGCCCACATCTACAAGACAGAGTGAAGACACACATGACGTGGGGGCGGAGGAAGATATGGGCTCGGGAGGGGGAGGGGGAGGGGCATGCAGTGTGTGTGTGACTGCGCGTATGGCGTTTGTTTGTCTGTGCGACCAAATCCGTCGCGAGGTATACATACATATGTAATTAGAGCCACTTCGCCAGGCTAGGCTGCATGGACGTCTGTCTGTCATCCGAGCACCAACCAATTCATCTAGAGCAGTGGATGGAGTGGTCCACCTCCTCCATCCATCCATCCATCCAACTAGGCAGGCAGGCAGGCCAGCCACTCAGTCTATGCCGCATAGAGTGCTCCGTTCGTTCCCAAGTGATTTACTAGCTGTCTGTCTGTGCCACGGGTGTGAGTGTGTCATCCATCCATCCACGCGTACGAGAGAGACCATGACCGATCGACCGTCTTGTTTCTTGTGGTGTGGGCGCCCTGCGAAAGGACGGCATGCGTGGCCGGTGGGGGGCTGGGCTGTGGGGGACGGGCAGAGCAGAAGACGCGCATTTTCTTGTTGGTGTGGGTGGATGGATGGTGTGGTTGTTAGTCGAGGTGATCGATTGATTCTGTCTAGAGCTGGTGTGCCTCAGACAGGCACAGCACCCAGAGGAGAGTGAGTAGTGAGTGCACGGTACGGTGTCGTTGGGTCGTCTGAGCTCGGGGGCGAGGGCATCGTGAGTGACTGACTTGCGTCATTCCATTCATGCCATGCCATGCTCTCTCTATGCACTAACGATTCATTCAAATATATGGCTGACGGACGGCAAAAACGATTGATGGACGTCCAGCAAGTCAGTCAGTCAGTCCTCATCCACTCAGTCCCACTCACATGGACACGCACACGCACACGCATAGATGGCGGGAGGGGGTGACCAGTCGACTCGCATCCCACGTGCGGTCGCTCGGCATACAGACCCCCTTCACTAGCTAGCTAAACCCCGCTCAAACCCATCCATCCATACGCACATTCATTCATTCAGTCCTTCATGCGCCATGTGCAGTGCATGACACGATGACAGAAAGAGACACAGAGACACGCGCACACAGAGAGAGAGAGACTACCGATCGGCACAAAGCCGCCACCCGGTGAGTAAGTGAGTGAGATGGTATGGAGCATCCATGCAGTGCGCGCGTAGTTGCGTTGCGTTGCGTTCGATAGCAGCAGGCCCTCCCTCCCTCGCTGTCATTCATCCCATCTGCCTGTCTCCTTCTTGCTTCCTTCCCTCCCTCCGTCCCGCCCCGGCTTGCGAAGCGTCAATGGCCGGTCCCACTTTCGAGACCCAAGTACGTGTGCAGCACTCACAGCGTAGCTATCCACCAATGACGCCAGCAACCGAGGTGTCATAGCAATCAATCAAGGCAGACGACAGACACGAGGGAGACAGACGAGGCCAGACAGCAGAGAGACTTGATCGAAACACACGAGGGAGGGAGGGAGGGAGGGAGGGAGGAGCAGGCAAAACAAGAGAGCAATAAGCGAGTCAGTCAGTCAGTCAGTCGACGTATGCACGCCACCTAGCTAGCTATGTACCTCCTTAAGACTATCTACCATACCCAGCCTCACCCATACACAGCAATCCATGTCATGGTCATGCATGTCTTATACTTGAAGGATCCTGGCGAACTCTTCCCCGATGCCGATCTCCTCGCCAATGATTCTGAACTGTTTCTTGAGCTTGCTGATGTACTTGCCCTTGCAGTGACCATGTGGGCTGCAGTAGGTCGCCGGCACCGAGATCGTCAGCTGACAAGAGGGACCGGCCGCCTCTTCACCATCCTCACCATCCTCTCCTCCATCCTGGGCCGGCTCCGCGCCACCGCCGCCCCCCTCAGCAGCCGCGTCGGCCCCTTCTTCCGCCTCCCCTGCTGCCTCATCAATGCCTTCAGCAGCTTCAGCGGGGCCGCCCTCGGCAGTGCCCTCAGGCGTCACCTCTTCCTCCCCCCCTGCAGCGGGAATCTGTCCCTCTGGTGGAATCGGGTTGGCGACGCCCGGTGGGCTGCCGGCCACAGCCTCCTCCTCCTGCAGTCGTCGGGGGCCTGAGTAGGGCATCCGTTGCTGGACGCCCTGGAACCGCCCTGACAGCTGCCCGTGGCCTCCCTGAAGCGCCATGAAGTCCTGCTGTGGCTTTGGCAGCCTCCTCCCCTCTGGATAGCCGAATCGGCCGTCGTAGTCGTCTGAGTTGATCTCACCAGCCAACAGAGGGTCCAGGCCGGGGGCGGGGGTCAAAAATTCAGATCCGCCGTCACCATCACCACCACCGCCACCACCACCACCGCCCACTTGTCGCATAAAGAGGGAGGGAAGGACGCCGCCGGGTGTGGCGTCTGCGCCACCAGATGCCCCCTCGGCGCCGCCTGCTTCGGTGGCGTTCTGGTTGCTGGTGACCTGGGCCAGGAGGGTCTGTAGGTCTTCTGGCAGCTGAGCGATGAGCTCGGGGTCAAGGGTGGCGAGGTTCTCGGGGGTGGGGTCGGCCAGGACCTCTGGCGGCACCTGCTGGATGACGGAGGCGGGGATCTGCGCGAGCACCTCAGGGGGGATCTGAATGGGCTCCCCATCAGCAGGAGGGCCGAGCAGGCCCTCGCCGGCCTCAGGTGGTGGGGTAGTCCCCTCACCTTGTACTTGGGCAAGCGCCTCTTGCAGCGCCTGCTGCACCTCTGGCGGGAGGGCAGCGAAGCCCTCGGGTGTGGGGTTCGCGATGAGTTCTGGGGGGATCTGCTCTCTGATTTCTGGTGGCAGGGCCTCCAAGAGCTCCTCGGTGAGGCCGCCGCCTGCTCCCGCCGGCGCCCTGGGCACGGGGTCACCGGGCTTAAGGTCGCCGAGGTCCGGGAAGTTGACCTCTATGAAGGGCTTGGGGCACTCGATTAGGGGGATGAACTCCTGAATGCCGAGACAGAAAAGGTACGACCGCCCATGGAATGCGAAGTCGTTGGTGAGGGCCGTTTGGAAGTTGTATTCCGGGGGGCAGACCGACTTGGGCCGCACTTCCTCGATCGGCAGACACAGGCCCTGCAGGAAGATCGTGCCGGTGGGACACTGCGCATCCACGTGCTGTTGGACAAATACACACACGAGCAGACACACACAGAAGAGAAGAGTGACACACATGGACGAAGCCATGAGTGAGTGAGTGAGTAAATGCCATCCCGCCTCCTGTCTGTCTGTCTGTCTGTCTGTCTCGCTGTCTTGCTCACGTCCGAAGTGTCGCCATGCCCGCCACCGTGGCCGTCACCGTGGCCGTCGCCATGCCCCGAGTAAGCATAATCCTTGTGCTCGGGTTTGCAGTCGCCCTTGCTGGTCATGATGTAGCTGTAGGGGCACTCCATCGGCACGCCCCTGGGCGGGCCGTTGTCCGTCCCGTTGCCGCCGCCCAGGCCAACGACGCAGATGCACGTAGGTTTGAGGTCGGTGGGGCTGTGTTTGACCAGGCGGCAGTTCTCTGGGCAAATGAGGGGGGCGCCCACGACGTCTTGCGTGATGCAGAAGCCTGATCCCTCGTCGAACTCGCCGACGGGGCAAGAGGGTATGGGTGGGAACTCGATGGTCTTCTGGCAGTTGGGGCCGACGACGTCCCAGTCCTTGGGGCAGGCATTGCCCTTCCCCTTGTTGTCACTGGGGCCGTGGTGCGGCCACCACGGATGGTTCTCACTCGGATACTCTGACAGACACGCACACAGACAGACAGACACAGCATTGAGGAATAAAGGGAAATGAATGAAGACGAACGAACGATTGATTGTGTTTGCCCACCCACCGACCGATGGGAACGTCATGGAGGGGGTCGTGATGGGGGTTATAGGGGTCGTACGCCTTTGGCTCGGCGCCTATGCATGTGGTGCCGAACGCGACCAGGAGGACCACACCCCACCTGGCCTGCACACACACACACACGCAAGCCAAACAGACGGCACACCAAATCAGCAGGCACTCCATCATCGTGATTGTGATTGTGAGTGATTGAGTGTTGATTCGGCGAAGTGCTGTCTGAGTCTCGCTGCACCGTTTGACTGCTTGCTTACCATCATCCGGAAAGAATAGGCGGTGCGCACCTCACCCCGTCCGAGCCTTCTCGGACCTCTCTCACAGTGGAACGCCCTCGACAGGCTCAGTCTCTCACGTCCAGCGCCTCAGCGCGCTTCGGTTTCCTTCTTTCCCGCGAGTCGTCAACTTGACCGTTTACTTTTTGCAACAACAGTGTACGCTAAGCTCGCAAACCTTCGAATTTGAGCTTGCAGAGCTGTTCCCCTCTCTCCGCAAGGCAAATCATTGAGTTGAGGGCTCCTGTTGTCCTGTGTTGACGGTAGCAAGAAAAAGAGAGGCTCCATTGAACATGCCCTGACGTCCTCTCATCTCTGTTTCAGGGCCTGCCGATGCTGCCCACGCTGCACCGGAGAATCAATAGCGATGAGAATGGGTCGATGGACAACGTGGATGACGAGATGGAGCTGGACACACGGTGAGGGCCACGCAGGAGCCATGCACCCAAAGCATCGGATTGCGCCCCTTCGTCTGTTGTGTCGTTCAGAGCCACGCCTGTGGTCGACCCCCCGGCTCGCGTGGGTCACACGTCCTCCCACCGCCTGCCGTCGAGTCAGTCGCCATCGCCCGATCGACAGCGTCGCATCATCGGCAGACACTACGACGGCGCAGACTCGCCGGTGAAGGTGTATCGCCAAGTGACGAGGTGGGCGGACGCCATACACATGGATGAAAGAGGCAGGGAGGGAGGCCGAACAGCATTCACTCTGTGTGTGAGTGCCTGGCCTGGCCTGCACTGCATTGCAACATTGTTTGTTTTGTATCGTTGGTTGGATTGGTCCAATAGGCCAGCAAATGCGGGTTTGGTGGGCTTGACAAACCTGGGCAACACGTGCTACATGAACTCGGCGCTGCAGTGCATGTCCAACACGGCCATCCTCACCGACTACTTCCTGGCTCTGGAACCAGATGCCGACAAATTTGCATACGAGAAGGAAATCAACACAGGTACGTACGTACGTACGTACGTACGTACACGCGAGATGAGATGATGCGATCGATGATGTGATGCAGTGCAGCAAGTGAGCCAATGCAAGCATTTTGTCTTTTCTTTGTCTGTTGCGTGTCTGGTGTGTGTCAGTGAATGTGATGGGGACGGGTGGGAAGCTGACGCACGAGTACTCGAGCTTGATGCGTCAGCTGTGGCTGACGTCCGGGGTGCGTGAGGTGCCGCCCAAGAATATCAAGAAGGTGCTGGGCGGCGTCAACGACCTCTTCCGCGGATATGAGCAGCAAGATGCACAGGTGGGGTGAGGGGGGCCATCTCATCTGCACGCACCGCACACTGGCCTGACGCACCAGCTGCCCTGGCCCACCTCTCTCCCTACCTCTGTCCCTCTCTCTCTCCCTCTCCCTCTCTTTCCTCTGTGTGTGGCTATTCTGGCGCAGGAGTTGTTAGTGACGATGTTGGATGGCCTCCACGAGGACTTGAACCGCGTGATCAAGAAGCCATACGTGGAGGAGCCCGACGTCACTCGCAAGACCCTCTCTGAAGGGAAGCGAGAGGAGAAACTGGCGGCTGAGGCGTGGTCCAGACACCTGCGCAGGTAGGTACCTAGGTGGGTGGGTGGGTGGGTGGACGAGGGGGGAGTCTGGACAGAATCTGCTGGCGACATTGCCGTCTGTCTGATCGATTGGTGGTTTGTTTGTGTGCAGGAACAAGTCGTATTTGGTGGACATCTTGCAGGGCCAGCTGCGTTCGGTGGTGCAGTGCAACACGTGTCACGACTTCAACATCCGGTACGACCCCTTCATGTTTTTGAGCCTCCCGCTCGAGGACGGCGACGGCAACGCCGTCCACTCCATCGACGAGGCTATCGAAGGTACGTCCATCAATCCATCCATCCATCCACACACGCGCACACCTTTCTGCATCTGCCCCGTTCTCTGTTTCTTTCCTCACTGATTTATCTATCGTCGATCGATCAGCGTTTCGTGCGGAGGAGTCGTTGACGGGCGATGAGTGCTGGTACTGCCCCCACTGCAAGGCGTTCCGGGAGGCGACCAAGAAGATCGACATCTGGAAGCTGCCGCTCATCCTGATCCTCCACCTCAAACGTTTCCGCTTCGCAGGCCGCCGGTCGTCCAAGCTGCAGCAGCTAGTCGACTTCCCCACAACGGTCAACTTCGCCAAGTTCGTCAAGTCGGAGCAGAAGGGCCAGCCCCTCTACCAGCTCTACGGCGTTGTCAATCACAGCGGTAAGGGGGAGAGAGAGAGAGAGAGAGAGAGAGAGGTCAGGCGCACCCAGATGGCATGCATGTCTGTCTGTCTGTCTGGCTGCTCGTTGTTTGTGGCATCGCATCGCAGGTGCGACACTGAATTTCGGCCACTACACTTCCGTCTGCAAGCACCAGTTCCGGGACAAGTGAGTGAGGCGCGGCGAGGGCACACAGAGAGACGCATGCACACCCTCCCTGTTTTGTGTGCAGGTGGTACCGATATGACGACGAGGACGTCCGTGAGGTGTCTGAGAGTCAGGTGGTGACGCCCAAGGCGTATGTTCTCTTCTACCAGCACTGCAACCTGCCCGAGAAACCCGAGCTCGTCAAGAGGTGCTCGTGAGGAAGGCAGCCAGGGGTCGCACATTTGAGAAATCAACGTGTCTGTCTGTCGGTCTGTCTGTCTGTCTGTGCGCTTGTCAGGCAATCTCGTTCTCACCCGATCCACTGGCCCCACAACCTGCGGCAAGAGTCACTGCAGGAGCTCGAGCACCAGGTACACACACGCACACCCCACGCATATGCGCTTGTGTCATTCACTCATTCATTCATTCACCAGATCCGGGGCGAGGATGGCAAGTCGCCCCGCAAGGCTGGCGGCCGCTCCCCGCCCTCCAAGAAGAACACGCCCAAGGCCACAGAGTGCCCCACCATATACGAGCCGCCATCACAAACTTTCAGGTGCGCTGGCTGGGGCACCGCACCCACAACACCTGACACGTACACGGCCGCCATCCCTCCCTGCTCCATGTGTCTTTTGTGCAGTTCGCCCAGCTCGGGGTCCCCTCCGTCGGTCACGGCTCTCGCCGCCTCCTTGCCGTTGCCGGCAGCCACAGCCTCCTCGCCGACGGTGACCGTTTCACCGGCGTCGCAAGCCGAGCGGATCCGGAGCGCTGCGCGGGGGTACCCCTACTACAGACGGCCCGTCATCCGCGACAGATCGCCGGGTCCGCGGCCATTCCCGGGTCCGGGAGAGGTGGGGCTGCCGTACCTGGGCGGCCAACGCAGCCCACTCTTCTACCGGACAAACAGGTCGCCTGCAAGGCGATAGGTGGTGGGGAGAGGGAGGGAGGGAGGCGACGGATGGCCATGCTGTGCCGTTTCATGCTGTGCCATTTGTTGTATTGTGTTGTGTTGTGGCCGGCTTTGCTTTGCGTTTGTTCGCTCTCCTTGTTGACTCTTCCCATGCGGTTGGTGGTTGGTTGGTTTGCGTGACCACGTTTGTTTGTGCAATGAAGCGGGGGCAGCAGACCCTCCCCCATGTGTGTCGTGTAGAGTGACGCCCTCTGCATATACGTACGTACGTGATATCAATCAATCGGCATATATAGTGAGAAGTCACAAACGCCAAATCGGTTGCACAAACAGAAGGCCCAGCCGAAACTGACCAGGGTTTGGGTTTGTTTGCAAAAGGCAACAGAGGTGCGAAGGTCTGGCCTCCAGGTCTTGCGTACTTCCAGGTGACCTACAGACAGACCTGCAGCTTGCCGCCCTCCCTCCCTTTACTTGCGTCGCTTTGCTTGACTGATCTTCCTGTCTGCTTCACTTCACTTGCCTGGCTTCTGACGTGACTGACGGCCAAGAAACCCCTTTGAAAGGCATCAACGGCAGCGCGCCGAGCTCTTTGAGCGCTTTCCCTGACTGGCGCTGCTTGCTTCTACTGGGCGAGACAAGACCGCGTGTTCCCGCTGCTTCGCCAGCTGCCTTGCAGCGATGGACCCTTCGTCGAGCAAGAGTGCGCCGTGTAGGCAAAAGATCACACACACGGGCCACCTTGCATTGTACACCACCTTGTTTGTGTGTGACTGTCGCGTTGTCTGTCTCCCGTCTCTCTGTCTGCTTGTGTGTGTTGCTTGTGTGTGTCAGCTGTTCCTCTGTGTCGGTCGCCTCCGCCACCACCGCCGCCCTCGGCCACCCCACTGCCTCTGACTGTGACTGCTGGCCGCTCGGGTGGCCATCCCACCGTCGGCTACTACCCCACTTACGCTACAGGTCGCTTGCGGTGCGTGGCACTGTGCGGTGGCAGGAGGACGATAGATCGTGTGTGGCTGATTCCCTCTGTGTGTGTGTGTGTGTCAGGGCATTCCACGTATCCTGGTCATGGTCTGGTAGGTTCGTCGCTCCCCTTGCCAGGCTACCAGGTTGGCGCGACGTCCGAGGCCCCAGCAACAGCGGCAGGTGGTCAGGACAGCCACAACCCCTTCACCTCGCCCCAGACTTACGGATACTTCCACCCGCAGTACCTACAGGAGTTCTCGACGTACGCACACGCACACACGGACCTCCCGTCCGCACATCCATCCCATCTGTGGCATGGGTGGGTGGGCTCGGGTGTCTGTCTGTGTCTGTAGGCGTCTGTCGCAGTATTATGCTGCGCACCACTACCCCTCGACGATAGCGATGGGGGCCCTCAGCGCCGGACCCACGGGCCCATACTCGTCGCCACAGGAGCTCAGCCCGACGCGAAAAGGTCCGTCCACACAACACAACACGAGACGTGCAGAATGCTCTTGACTGACCTTGGTAGCATGTCTGTCTGTCTGTCTGTCTGTCCATGTGTTGTGTGATGCGAATCGAATTAGGTGATGGAGATTTGCCGAGGCTGTCGCCCTCAACCGCTGGACCGGCACCCACCCCACACATGAACAGTGGTAGGTACCGTACCCTCCATCCATCCATCCATCCATCCCATCCACCGACCCGACATGCAATCTAATCTGCATCTGTCCTTCCTTCTGTCTGGTCTGGTCTGGTGTGGTGTGGTTGGCTTCAGCTGCGATCTATTCGCCGCCGCCCTACCCCCCACTGCCTCCCCCCTGCCGCACGTCGCCGCCCCCGCCCCCAGCGCCGTCCCCATCGGTCCACGCCAGCACCAGCATCACACCGCCACCATTCCCCATCAGCCCCTACAACATGCCCTTCTACACCCACCCCGGACACGCACACGCCCACAGCCACACCCACACCCACAGCCACCCACACACGCACACGATGCCCTACGCACACCCCCTCGCCCATCAGCACGTGGCTGCCGCCACTGCTGCGGCGCTGGCGACTGCCGCCAGCATGTCGGCTGGTATGGCTGGTGCGGGAGTGTCTGTGGTGCGTGAGGAGGAGGGCGGCCGGCGTCAGGTGTTTGATGTGTTGGAGTGGCTGCGGGACCACATGGGCAGCAGCATCCAGGGGAGTGTGGACGACCCGCTCGTCGGGGAGATCCGGGCGCTGTGCTGCGACTTATTTGGCCGTAAGGGAGGAACGAAGAGACAACAGAGATTGGCACTCTGCAGGGTGTTGTGTTGTGTTGTGTTGTGTTGTGTCAGTTCCACGTGTGGGTGACGGCACGATTCCGCCCGTGATGCCTCACCCATACATCATCGCACACCCAGACGAGTTTAAAAACGCCAGGTGGGTCTTTGCGACACACACCACCATTCGCTGTCCATCCCACCCACCCACCGGCCACAGGTGTCTGTCTGGATGTATGCCTGTGTGTGTGTGTGTGTGTGTGTGTCGACGGACAGTTCGTTCCTCAAGATCTACGGCGACCCTTTGGCTGCCCAGGCCCTGCCGTCGAGGGGTCGCGAGCGTCCCGTGTTGGTCAAGCGCGAGAACGGCAACTGGGAGTGCGGCAAGTGCGCCAACATCAACTACCCCAGACGATTCAAATGCAACAAGTGGTGAGTGAGTGAGCGAGCGAGGCAGGGAGCGACCTTCACCAGACAAACAACACAACGCACCACACCCCATCCACTGTCTATGTGGTCGTTGGTGTGGTGTGTGTCAGCAACGAGGTGCGCAGCGAGGAGGGCGACATGATAGTGCGCGAGTACGCCCTGCACGTGTACTTCAAGATCATCAAGGAGCGCGGCCCGCCCCCCTCCTCACACACCAACAACACCAGCACCCCCGCACACTCAACGGGCGGCCACGGCCACGGCCCCCTCCTGCCGCTGCGGCCCTCACTCTCCTCCACCCTTACCTCCACACAGCTGGGGTCCACCTGGTCGTCGGCAGGAGGCGGCAGGGACACGCCTGTCGGAGGGATGGCCGCCACGCTCGGACGCTCCTCGTCTGCGGGCGTCATCCCCCCGCCGCCCGTCAAGGAGGACGACAGGGAGAGGGAGAGGGAGGGCGGGAGGAATGCTTGAAGGAATAAATGGATATGATGGATGGATGGGGGTGCGTCGGATGGGAGGGCGGGGCGGGGGTTGGTTGGGTCCGTTTTGGTGTGAGGATGCGATGCGTGTCTCATCTCGTGAGTGATGTGTGTGCGTGTGACGTGTAGGCAGATCGATCGGTCAAGGTGGCTGACTGACTGACTGAAGGAAGGATGATTGATTGGTTCGTATAGCTTGTGTGCGTGTGTGTTGTGACCGTGGCCGTGGCCGTGTGTGCGTGATGCCATGTCATGTGAATAGCGTACAAGTGCCTGCATGTGATGAATGCGATGGATGGATGGATGGATGCGATGGATGGAAGTAGGTGCAGCTAAAGGCTCCCATGCTGCTGACTTCAGTGGTCTGTCTGTCTGCACAGGTAGGCAGTAGCTAGCTGACCGACCGACCGATGCGTAAGGACCGATCGATCCATGAGGTAGGTAGATGGAAAGATCAGAGAGATCCCCGCGAGACGTAGCAGGCAGAGAAAGGGGAAGGAAGAGACAGAGAGGTAGAGTAGAGATGGCTGGCTGAGGGTGGGGTGAGGTGAGGTGAGAGAGATCCATGCCATGCATCCCATCCCATACACTAGCTAGCGATTTGCGTACTACCCTACACACTACCTACTGACAGACAGCTGGATAACCCCACCTACACGCACACAGATACCCTCCTGAGTAAGTAAGCGGATGTCACGTACGCTCCTCCGTGTCAGTCATGTTGTGTGCCTCTGTCTGGGTTGGGTTGGTTCCAGTGATGTTTTTCAGCTCTCAGCTAAGGTTTCTTCCAAACCGTCCTACTGGTGTTAGGTCACTCACTGACTGACTACCTGACTAACTGATTGACTGACTAAGTGCTTTGCACACCCCTCCGCTCACACACACACATACGTCCCAACCCCGCCCCTCCCTTTTTCCATGCAGCAAGGCCCGCCAGCTTGCTCAGCTGCCGCCATTTACTGTCCATCCATCAACACATCCCACACTCAGCCACACCCCTCCCTCCCTCCCTCCCTCTGTCTGTCTGTCTGTCTGTCTCTGTGTGTGTCTGTCCGTGAGGCTGCCGTATGCTGCTGATGGGTGGGGTGTGTGGGCGGGTTCTCGGGCTTTTAATATCGCTCATGTCTGCCTTGCCTTCCTCATCCACCATTTCATTTCTTGCTACCCATTTGTAATGTAAGTTGGCCGCATGTGCGTGGGCGTGGGCGTGTGTGTGTGATGTGATGTGATGTGATGTGATGGATTGCTCGATTGTTTGCAGGCAGCTCGCTGCGCGGCCGGACTTCTCCTCCTTTTATAAACCTTACCAACGGATTCATGGATGGATGGATGGATGAGGGAGTGATTACACCGACTCTACCCTCCCATTTCGCTATCTCCCTACCCTTGTCTGTCCCGTCTGTGTGTGTGTATGTCTTGTCTGCCTGTGTGCTGCCTGGAGGTTTGAGGGTCTGTCTGAGTGGGGTGCCTTGGGGGAATTCACTCGTTGGATGGATGGTTGGTGGGTCGGCCTACCTCTTTCTAGGACGTACTTGGTGGCTGAGGGGTCCCACACTGGAAAGAACAACACATGGAACATTTTTAGCGATCACGCCACTTGTCAGTCTCTTTGTCGCCTGTCTGTCTGTTTGTCTGTCTGTCCACCTGGTTGGTTGGTCCGACTGATCATCTCACTCACTACCTAGTGGCCGTCTGTCTGTCTGTCTGTCTGAGTGTCGTTCCTGCCACAGCCTTGCCCGCTAGTGAAGGTGTGCTGTCATCTTTCCGTCTGTTTGTCTGTCTGTCGCCTCACACGCGCGCCTACTATACTGCCTCTGTCCCTTCGCTGCCTGCTTATGCCGGTCTTGCTGCTGCTCCTGCTCCTGCTCCTGCTGCTGCTGGGGTGTGTGTGTGTGTGGGGGTGGTGGTGGTGAGGGGAATCGGTGAGAGCAGCAGCGTGTCTGCCTGTCTGTCTGTCTGTCTGTCTGGTCGGGAGTGAGTGAGTGAGGGAGAGGTGATATGTGACGTGATGTTGTTCCTTGCTACGTGGATGGATGGTTGCAGGGATGGCTGGTGTATTGCGTGTGTGTCTTCTCTCTTGTCTCGTCTCGTCTCGTTTTGGCGTCTTGGCGTAGGTACTGACCAAGGAAGGTTTGTGTAACTGACTAAGTAAGTAAACAAGCGTACTGTAGCTAGGCTAGCATCCGCCAGTCGATCGACCGACCATGGCCCGCCCCACTAGTAGTCGGCGGCACGATGGATGGATGGATGGATGCATGGATGCTTTCCTTCGTACGTACATACCATGTCATTGCATTGCCTGAGTGAGTCAGTGAGAGAGGCGATCGGGCGATCGGCATACTGACGAACGACGCGACATAGAGGCAAGGGCCCGCCAACCAACACAGCCCATTCAACTATATACCCGGATGGATGGATGGACTGACTGACTGTGGCCGACTCTAATCATCATCTCGTTGCTTGCTTGCTTAGTTGCCGGCGAAGTGGGCGCTTGTGGGGGCGGGGGGAGCTCAATTAGGGGAGGGGACCGAGGGCGGCGGCTGTCTGCACACGTACCCCCTCTGTGGCTATGGTCTTGTCTGTGCTCTTGTCTAGTCTACTCGTCTGTCGTCCATCTTTTCCTTCCCACCTGTCTGCCTGCCTGCCTGCCTGCCTGTCCGCGGTGCCTCTCCGGTGCTCAGGCGGAGGAGAGAGCCCGCCAATTAGTCAGTCGCATGAGTGCTGGGGGGAGGGGCTGGGCGGGGTTGGGCTGGACGGGCTACGCTACCTGGCATCTTGCGTCTCCACTCGTCCGTCCGTCCGTGTGTGTGCCTTCTTGTGCCTGCCTGCCCATTTGATTGATTGATCGCTGGATGATTCACTCGTGGCCGGCCCTCTGACTGACTTCCCCTCTCCCTCTCCCTCTCCGGCCGGCCGATGATTGATTGCGGGACGAGATTGTATACTGACTGCATGGCATGCTGCGCTGCCCTCCCGGGAGGGGAGCTATCATCCATCCCATCCCATCCACGGCTGGTTAATTACCTATTTGTGCACACACATACATACATACACACGGAGGCGTGGAGAGGATGGCCCATGAGAGATGCGATGCGTACAAACGGGTTCGTGTGCTGCATGTTGGTGTGCGTGTGCGTGCCCCATCCCCCCACACAGCTGCTCAGCTGACTGGGCAACCGACAAAGGAAAGGCAGGCAGGAGACAAGAAAGTGTAAAAGTGTATTCAATGCCCTTCACGAGACAGACAGACAGGCAGGCCGTTCGTCAGGTTCTCTATATATATAATGTCTTCGTGTATGTGTACGTGTGGTGTGGATAAGCAGCCTCCCTGCCTGCCTGCCGATGCGTTGAATGAATAAAGAAAGGCTGGAAGGATCAACATACATACCTATATAAGTATGTGTCCACCCCCC